TTTTTTTTTTTTTTGGGGGGGGGGGGTTAGCTCAAATTGTCTTTCGATCAAAAATGAATTGTACAAACCTTCGTTGGCGAGTTCCATGCTGGAGCACAGGGAGAAGGTCTGCAAGAGGAGAACAAAGCAGCGGACTTGTCTAGACATCGTGAGGGGGAGTTGGGCGGGTGTTCTCGGAATCCGGGGTATGAATCTGAAGAACTAGTAGTTAGGTACTTTACAATATTAGTTTGTAAAATGTAAATTGTAGATTATTTAGTAACATCAGTTTGCAAATATATATTCTGCGAAGAAATGGGAAGATGAACTCTCTGGTAAGGATTTTACGGCGCTTGTGACTGCAAAAGCTCATGCATACACGGACAGTATCAGTTTTAAAGTAATTATTGAGTGGAGGAATATTATGTATTTCATGTTTGACAACATTGTTTTTTTGGTAAAACATATATACAATCTAGCTCACACTTAACGAACACGCACATAGGGAGAAAAAAACGCACAAAGTGAACAGATGTTCAAGTCCCGATTTTTTCTGATACAATATGTTTGTTTTTAAATTATTATTTTAAACACGTACACATAGAAAAACACGGAATGATTTTTACGTCACACTGAGTTCGTTATGTGTGTGCTATGCCATAAAAGTATTGTTATACGGGGCGCCCATTACGACTGGATCGGGCCGATTGCCCGACTCAGTTGCCTGAATTTGAAAACAAATACGGGGTGCCCACTACGGATGGGATCGCCCGACTCGGTCGCCTCAAAAACAAACGTGCTTGTTTTCAATTTCAGGCGACCGAGTCTGGCAATCGGCCCGATCCAGCCGAAGTGGGCATCCCGTAAAACACGTTTATTTTTTAGGCGACCCGATCCGCCGATCCCATACCTAGTGGGCACCTTGTATTTGGCTGACTTTCTACAATGCCTGTTTGTAAATAGACTTTTCTTACAATCAGTTAGTCAATATAATATGTAATATATTTTAAAAGAAATTCAAAATTGCGATGCACAAGTAGGAAAAGAAAGAAAAGAAGGAGAGAGAGAGAGAGAGAGAGAGAGAGAGAGAGAGAGAGAGAGAGAGAGAGAGAGAGAGAGAGAGAGAGGGAGGGAGGGAGGGAGGGAGGGGGAGAGAGAGAGAGAGAGAGAGAGAGAGAGAGAGAGAGAGAGAGAGAGAGAGAGAGAGAGAGAGAGAGAGAGAGAGAGAGAGAGTGAAAGAGACAGACAGACAGACAGAGGGGGGGGGGACGGACCCAATATTGCTTTTAAAATCAAGTCCGTCCTGTCTTCTTATCGCAACACCATGCTTATTGATCGCAAGAACCTTTAGTGCAATTTTTTTTAAAGTGTTCTTAATTTTCTGTAACTAATTTTTGTCCCTGAAAAGCGTCAATAGTCATCAGTCACTTAGGCCATATACGAATGCTTAAATGTGTGTGAGAAACGGAAAGTGCTGTGAATAATCGTATTTTCCGCGTAATAGAGATTTGTAATTTTTATCGTTTGTGAAAAAGTTTTTTTTTTAAATGTAGTCTCATATGTTGTGAAAAAGTTTGATTAAGTTTTCAGAAAAATTAAAGCAAACTGATGTTCAAAGTATGGTTGATATTGATTCCTGCGTTAATGAGATTTGAGGATAAGTTGCGCCACGAATTTTTGACCGCACTGTGGTTGACCGCCCGTGCCTTACTTAATGACTTAGAAATATCTCGAGATATGATTTACTTGTATTGAGACATATAAAACACAATACCAATAGTTAACGTCCGACTCTAACTGTGTTTCTGCGTGGACACTAATATTTAGAAAAGAGAGAGGAAAAACCCGTTATTTTTTCCTACCATCTATCAGAATGTGGGTGATTGGCGGGTGCTCTGGTGTGGTTTACTTTCTTCCGTTTTAAATATTTATCGTCCTTATCTTTTCCTTCTTTTTTATCTTTCTTACTCTCTTGTAATACCTGTAATCTTCCGCAGTTAAATACCCTTATTGTTTCAAAATTACTTCCTACCAAGCTGGAAATCCGCATGCGATTCATTTGACCTTATGCAGCTGTGAGCGCTATAAAGCACTTATAAAAAACAACAACAACAAATAACAAAAAAGGAAAAAACGAAAACAAAAACAAAAACAATAATGAAATGCAGTTTTTGGAACGCTTGAATCGAAAGGTCATATGAGCACCATGAAGGTACTTTACACGAATCCCCCATCAATTTGGTTCAATCCTTTCGGGGATGGACACAAAACGAAATCCCAGCATACCTTGCTCTCACAAGGAATATAAAAGGCAAACGAGAGAGAGGAAGACAAAGAACAACTTACTTTGACAAGCTGAAACAGATGTCCAACCACTAACGTCTTCTTTCTCTTCCGTCAGTGCTAAGGTTTCTGTTCCGGAAGTTACTCTTGACAGCGGCAGAAACAACAGCAGCTCTCCCTTCACGAGCCAGCTAGTGTTTCTTACAGACTGTAACACACCTCTCTCTTCTGATCGTACAACAGAGGACGCGTTCAGTATTTATATCGTTGATGGTGAGTAACTTTGTGGTGCGCGCGCAAACTATCGCTGCGCGCGCAAACTTACGGTGCGCAAACTTCTGGTGCGTGGTAAACGTGTGGCGTGGTGCGCTGTATCAATAGGCAGCTGTGGTGGCGATAACACGCAGATGCGATGGTCACGAAGATGGGAAGGGTATTATTGTCCTTAGTATATGATCTCTGCGTTTGGGGGCCGAGGAGTTGGGGGGGGGTCGAAATTGTATTGTCTTTTCACATGTCGCCTTCGTAGAGTAAGACTTCAGTAATATCGGAAGATACTGATCTAGTTTAAACGTTGTCCTTGTTAACTATGCAGTTTATATTATCATACACGTGTGTTCTTAGACCTATTTTTTGGGTGTGTATGAGTAAGTCTTGGTTGAAGCAAATTGCAGACGACAGCTTATGACGAATATACGAAAGCGAAAGGTAAAGTTCATTGGACACAAAATGAATAAAGAAGCATTGGAGAATATTATAACAACAGGCAAGCGTGATGGAAAGAGAGGCATGGGCAAACAGAGGGAAAAGATACTGGACAAGTTGACAACATGGCTGGGAACAGCAAGAACGACTGACATCATCGCTGCAACGCAAGACGAGTGAAATGGAGGTCCATGATCGCCTACGCCAGGCGGCAAGGCACCGGATGGTGATGAAGAGTATATTAGGTGTGTGGAAAAGATAGATTATATTTGAAAGAGTATGTGTGTATGTGTGTGTACGTGCGTGTATGTGTGTGTGTGTCTGTGTGTGTGCGCGCGTGTGTATTTATGTGTGTGTGCGTATGTGTACGTGTGCGTGATGATACACCAAACCTTTGTGCCAGTACCTGGACAATAATGAATACTCTCATCTTATCTGATCTGATCTTTTCTTCTATTTTATTATTTTTTCATATCTAATCGTTAGCACGATTCTGTTCTCCAACAACTGGTTCACGGTCACGTTTTTCTTTTGACAGATAGACGTCGTTTTAGAAGAAACAATTTATTGTTTGCGTGTGTTTGTTTGTGTTAAGAGACTCACATCGCCACAATAATGAAAAAAAAGAGTAAAGAAGTAGGATCTACCAGTAGGGCCCTCAAACCAATTGCTAGATTGTGCAATTAATTTTTCTCAGAAAATGGAACAGACATTATCACGACTTTGTTTCAATCTCCTAAACGAACATACGATACTCGCTTTACAATGTAGATCGAAACAACGTCTCAACAACGGAGGTGTTAATTTTGAGGGGTTGGGGGAAGCCATTTGTACGCCCTACCCTTTTCCTTTCCCTCTGTTGTTTCTGTCTGCCTGTTTTATTGTTTTCCAGCACTGAATGGTCATATTTTCGACGTTGTGCTTCTCTTTAAATAAATTTAAAGACTATATAATATGTAAACCCAACCAAAACAACAACAACAACAACAAACCAAAAAAACCAACAACAACCAAAAATATACCAAGAGTATACCCTTATAGTTCACTGTACAGACTACCACTGTGGATGGTTAGCGGGTGGTCTGGTATGGTTTGTCCCTTCTTACCTATCAAACGCCAATTTTCTTTATCTCTCCACCTTCTTTTGCGTTTGTTACTCTTTTGAAACACCTCTGATCTTTGGCACTTATATGACTTTATTGTGTTGTAAGTGCCCAAAAACTCTGACTATAACTAAACCAAAGACATCTCTTCATGTAGACCAGCGCCTGTAGTGCCATGTAAAGAAAAATTAATTGTTGCGGTAGTATGCAGAGGACGAGAGTTCGATTCCCCATTTTCCTGAAAGTGATGAAATGGTGTCGTTTCAACGCACCTAGCAACAATATTTTGTTATTTAAGAGGCGAGACCTCTGAGTTTAACGGCCATCTCCGAAAGGATTGAGCCAAATTGATGGAAAATTCGTGTAAAGTACCTTCATGGCGCTCATATGACCTTATACAGTTGCGAGTGCCGTAAAACCCTCCAATAAAAAAAACCTAGCTTAGGCTGGAACTCCTGAACCCGCAGTTTCACGATTACGGGTCCTGTAGCCTAACCACTAACTAAGCTACCGACGTCACCTCCATTTCCTTGACGTTTGTTACTGATTTCCAAAATACTGTTGGAATTGTCCGAGATACCACTCACTGTCGGGGGGAAAATGGTTGTCTTTTTAAAAAATCCCTTGCTCATTTATATGAGGTTGACGTCATCTGATTAGAAGAAAAAAGTGAGTATGATAGGGTCAATAGTGTATTACTTGCATACTGTTACAGATAGAGATTCCAGGATTATAGTTGTAAGTCATTGATCTGAGGGCAGTGATGATTTTAGAAATTATGGTGATGATGAGCGATGATATGGGATTGCGCTTAGGTAATGTTAGCGTTAGTCCTATCTTCCTCTGCTCCAATGAGTCACGAGGTTCGAAAAAAGTGATTGTCTTAGACTGCGAGTTAAAAACAACAACAACAACAACAACAAAAAACAATAACATCAGCAACAGCAACAACAGCAACAACAACAACAGCAACATCAATAAAACTTTACCGTGATCGTGCGCACCATAGACTCGCAAATGAATGGAAAAACAAAAGTCTCGCTACGTGGTCTCATGGTCTAGAGATAAGCGTTCGCCTCTCATTCAATGGTCTCAGGTTCGAAACTTTTAAGCGACAAAAAATGTTCTTCCTTGACAAAATTTTTTCTTTCACTCTCTAAGTCTCTTTATTCATGTTTGGACGTCTGCTTCCATATCCACTTTCTGCCTACCCCCCCCCCCCTTTTTTTTTGCCTCCCTCCTCTGGGCTCCTGAAGCTGATGCCATTCTACTGCTACTCATTGGCCCCTTCCTGCAACTGTCTTTCAGCCACACCCATGATCTTAGGATGGGTTGGATCTAGATCTAACACATTGCCTTCTCGGATAAGGGCGAAAAAAAATCCGGAGGTCCTGTGTGCAAGCTGTGCCATTAAAGATCTCTTGGTGGTTCTAAAACCGATAAGAGTAGGCTTCTGCCTCAACCCGGGCAAAATTCAAAATTAATTCCTACCAAAATGAAAATTCTGAAGGGGGTAGGTCTGAAGGCTGTCTCGCTTATTAGAGGTCCATATTTTACCAAATTTCACAGATATAACAAGCATAGTAAGGAGCCTTAAAATCCACATTCAAATTTGAGAGAAAAAGTTTCGTTTCCATAGCTACAACGGCCATATTGGATTTAATTGCAATGTCTTACCAAATGAATACCGCACTTATTCTTCATTGAAATTGATTTTTTTTTTTTGCATGCATCTTAGCAAACATTAAATCTGCAAATTTGTCTCTTGAATTTTTGGAAAAACAAATTAAAAGATTTTAGGTAGTATTGAAGTTTGCAAATCCACACCCAAGACACCACCACGAATAAAAATCTATTCCATATATCAAATTTTCAACAGAACTCTTTTTAGTATTACATTTGATCTTCATTCCGTGAAAATTTCATGAAGACAGGATAAAAAATGGTAGAGTTATTAAAAAATGTAAAAAGAAAAACTGCAGTTTGAGAAAACGCCTGATAAAGAAAAATAAAAGAATGACTTTATGAGGAAATGGCGGGGACAAACGTGCCCGGTATGGGAAGAAATACGGCTTTAGACGGTTCTAATGCTAAATGAGGCAGTTGTAGTGTAATTAAAAAACTGAGTTACAACTCACAACTGACCCGACCGAACTTTAACACATTGAACATAGGCTGGTGTGATCAACTAAGAAAGAGAGGCAAATTAAATCTACTACACTTGAGCAGTGAGAAAGAAGAATTCGCGAGGAAGGCAGTTGGGCTACAATTAAACAGTTTGTCAAGAGATTGAGTTTTAGAATGTTCCACTATAAAGACATGTTTTATCACAGCCCAAACTGATCTCAGTTATTGCTATTCAACATACAATAATTGTCTGCCAGAAGTCTGATTCTCCCCACCCCCCACCCCCCTTTTTTATAACGCACTCATAGCGAACATCAGTACGACAAAACGTTGTTGTTGTTTTTTTAATGGGGTGCTTTAAAGCATTCAACAACGTAATGTAGATCATTAATAAGGCATGTTTCCAACCCTGCATGTCCGGGACAACCTGGGTTGAGATGGATACAGCATTCTTCAAAAGGACCGAAACAGAAATTCACCCCATCCGGAAACTAAACCTTGTTTTCCTACGTGTAATAGTAACAGCAATGCTTAATTGTAACTGTTATTATACCACTGACATCGGAAATGTCTTTACAAGCATCGTCACCTCAGAACTATTTATTTGCCTAAAGTGTACTTAAGTGAAGAGGCACTTTGGACAAAATAAATCTGGGGCAACAACATGTCAATGGGGGTTTTTTTTAGATTGAGCCCAACAGTGTAAAAACCTGGTCGTTATTTGAAATAACAATTTGTTCATGTCTTCTTATCTGAGCTCACTTAGTAAAATTCCTGAATTTCAAACAAGCAAAGTCAGCCACAGCAGAGTACATGTCAGGGAGTGTAGCAAAAATATTTGAATCATCCTTTTTTCCTTTCGAAAATAGACTTGCAATTCGTGCTTAAATTTCAAATTAATCATTCCATTGCCTTAAAATGTCAAAAATAATGCGGCTAGGCAATTTCTTAAGAATATGAAAAGAACCCACCCGCCCCTATTCTAAAAGAGCAACATGGACTGCCAATTGAAAACCATATCATGAACAAAGTTTCTGTCTTCTGTAGATCCATAATTCTTTAAAATATAAACAAAAAATATTATCGTCACAAAGACCTTCATCTTGTTCTGAAACAGATATCGGCGTTCATGGTTCTCAATTCATCTTTCTGTTCATATTGTTTCATAGAACATTTTAATAATATAAAAAGATGATTACAGTATCAAAATTACCAAATACGCAATATTGACGCCATACAGAGCCGGTGCCTATGATGTAGCGGTTAGGAGCCGCTGCCACTCGAGGAAAACCAGACTTCGACT